CGAAATAAAGTAAGACACCAGGAGACTCAGACAACAGCATGATCTACTTCCTCTGTTTCAACCAAGCAGAATAAGCATGTAGACCAAAGGTCAACAAATCAACTGCCTGGATGCTGTTTCCACTTCATCCACCCCTTGTGGCACCTGTGGCAGACATAACTAATCGATCATGACATTCCCAGTGAGTACAGACTTGGCCTTAGAATCTCTCCCAAAACAATACTCTTGGCAACCAGTACAGATCAATGGCACTTGGCAAGGGGAATAAAACCTACTTAACATAACAGATGTCGACTACTATCTTTAAAATTCAGAAAAGAAATCTACACTCTAGTTAGACAGAGCTTCTGTGAAACCAGAGTCCAGTGAGCTGTTGTTAACACATAGCTTTTTCCTCAATGATGGAATGTGTAAGGAGTCAAGTAGATAATATTTGCAAAGTGCTGATTGCTGAGTGATCAGTCATCAAAATTGGTGGTAACAGAAGTAGTTAAGAGAACCTAAACGAACTGCTGCTTCTACCTCAACTTACTAAGTCCCATGCTTATACCAAAAGTTGTATTTATTTAATCTTTGCAGAAGCAGGTATGGAGCAGTCTGTGCCATGAGCACCATACATGAAATGGCCAAAACAGCAAGATCAGCAATAAGAGAAACAGACAAGACAGTTAATAATTGAAAACTTGAGAAGAGGCATCATCCTCAATAGTAGACGTTGAAGGAGAGTTAATAATTAAATAGCTGATTTTTACTGAAAACGTACACAATATTCTGACAGTCATAATTAATCTCATTTAGCCCCACAATGACACAGTGAGGGTCAGAGTTGAATTTGCGTTTGTCTAACATTGAAGCCGGTTTTATATGACTTGACTAAGATATGCTGTTTGTGAGGATCATTAATTGCATACTTTTATTTTCACCGCTGCAGTTTCATTCTCAACGCCACGTGCCTCACCTCTGGACCTTCAGGTTGACTCTACCTTCCTGTTTCTCCTTTCCTTTAGACAGTATCTTCTGTCCTTTCCACACCCTGTTTCAAATTCTGATGCAAATATTTCCCTTCCTTAAGATTTGCCAAGTCAGATTAGCCTACTGAAAGTTCAGTTTCCTCCAAACTATTGGCATGGATAACCTTTGTCATTCAGCAGGAAGGATAAAGGCCTGGCCTCAGTTCTCCTCCAGCCCCTCAACTCTCTTCACAGTTCTTTAGCATCTTATATACAGTTTTTGCTTTGCACCCTGATGCCACGTCATGGTGCTTCCTTTGATGACTCCTTTTCTCCCTTTGTGATTCCACATCCCCCAGACACTGTTAAGCAAGACATCGTACTAAAGAATTCTGAGGGTGATGGAGATCATAGCCATCCCTCAATGCCTAGCATTCCACTCCCAGAATATCAAATATTGCTATAAAAACGTCTCCCTTCTCCCTCATCTCACCTTACACTATAAAACTTCACCTTCCAGACACCTTCAGCATCCTCCAAGTTCCTCCTCATCACTTTGTCTTCCCATAGATTTCAATACCCTCTGCTATATAATACAATTTGGCTCCAGCTCAGCTACCAACATTACATCTACATAATTATTATTGACATCAAGCTTAGCAAACTGAAAATCATCATCTAGACTCATCTTTCTTAAAGGTGGAGAAGTCATTATATATAAGTGGTTTTCCCTTCATGAATATTCTTTTCTCAACAGATTGTAAGATCATATCTTAAACCTGAGAACATTTACTTATCATAGGGCAGGTAGAAGAGGTATTTTATTTTAAAATTTTCCAAGATATAAAAGTGCCTTAGTTAAAAATTTTCCATTGTACCAAATAATCTTTCAACAGTATAAATAATAAAGGATTTTTAACTGATATTGTGAATATTGAATCCATAACAGAAATAAATCCACTGGATAAAATTTTAAGGACTTCAAGCATCAATAAAATAATATCTACCTGTTTTTAATAGAGTAGGTTACTAATAGCTCAAAATTATGAGCAAATTATTTAAAACTAGGAGCTTGGGCTACAGACACATGCCTACTATGTTTGAGAACTTGAGTGTCATCCCCAGTACTACAAATAAACAAACAAATAAATAATAACCTGCCACTAAGAATAATAGTCAAATGTCTATCAAAAAGAAAATAAAAAACAAATGTTTTATAATATCATAACTTCATTATAGAATAAATACAAATTTTGTGGTGAATTAGGAAGACAACTTGACATGAAAACATCCAACGTCTGCATACATGTAATGGAGCTTGGTTGTCCCATTAGCCTTAGTGTGCTATAAATAGAAATACCATTTTGAAGTGAAGTA